CTCTGAAGCACCAGCCAGTAAGATTGCCAAGGGGAGCAAAAGGTCATCACTGCACACTGATCACGTTCATCCTCACTGGCCTACATTGAGCATCACCTCAGTGCCTGCCTCTCCACCATGTCAAGTTCTGCTGCTGTATTTTATTTTCCTTCCACATATTTTTATTTGTTCAAGAAGGATCATGGTAAGTGAAGTCAGAAACCAGAGCTCTGTGGCCACTTTCATCCTGGTGGGGTTCTCAGAATTCCCGCACCTACAGGCACCCCTCTTCCTGGTGTTCCTCAGCATCTACACTGTCACTCTGGTGGGGAATGTGGGCATAATTGTTGTCATAAGGATAAATCCCAAGCTTCATACACCCATGTACTTTTTCCTCAGCCATCTCTCATTTCTGGATATTTGCTACTCCAGTATGATTTCACTCAAGCTGTTAGAGATCTTGGTTGTGGAAGACAGAACTATCTCCTTCAATGGGTGCATGACACAGTTTTTCTTTATTTGTATGTTTGTGGTTACAGAAATGTTCATGTTGGCCGTGATGGCCTATGACCGGTTTGTGGCTGTGTGTAATCCCTTGCTCTACACAGTCGCCATGTCTCGCAAGCTCTGTTCCCTCTTAGTGTCTGGGACATACATGTGGGGTGGCCTGTGCTCCTTGTTACTCACTTACTCTCTGCTAGTACAGTCCTATTGTGGATCTAATGTCATAAATCACTTGGGCTGTGAGTACTCTGCCATCCTCTCTTTGTCCTGCTCTGACACTTCTTTCAGTCAGATGGCGTGTTTCGTCATTTCTACATTCAGTGAAGTGTGTAGCCTCCTGATCATCCTTGCCTCCTATGTCTTCATCATTGCCACTGTCAGCAGGATTCCCTCCAAGGGCGGCCTCCCCAAAGCCTTCTCCACCTGTACCTCTCACCTGACTGCCATCAGCATCTTCCATGGGGTCATTCTCCTTCTCTACTGTGTGCCCCATGACAAAAGCTCCTGGCTCCTGGTCAAAGTGGACACTGTTCTTTTCACTGTCATGATTCCCTTGTTGAATCCCCTGATCTACAGCCTCAGGAGCAAAGATGTAAAAGAGACAGTTAGGAGGCTGATTGACTCCAAACTGCATTCTCTCCACATAAAATTCAGATAAATGTTTTTGTATATCCTAACAGTACACAACTTTTAAAAATGTTTTTGGTGATACTTAAGTTTTAACTAAATATATAATATGTTCTTCTCCACACAATATTGAATAAGAAATGCTCTTCAATGTTCTGAGTGCTTTCTAATTTTCTTGTTTCATTACAAATATTCTGTTTTTGTGTATTTCTTCTGAAGAATTTCAGAAAGCATGCTTTTAAACATTTTCATGGAACACTACAGAAGTCCAGAATTAGGAGTTAGAAGTCCATATTTAGAACTTACTTCCATTTCTACAGCCTGGCTGTTCTTTGTTCTTTAAGTAGTGAAAACACAAATGACATCTTCCTATACCAGAATCATACTCAAGCCTTCAGAACCCACTGTGTTTACTTAGAAAGTTCTGTGAAGTATAACTTTCTGTTTCACTTTAATACTTTAAGTGCAATAAGAAACTTTTGTTATATATGAAAAATATTGACTGGCTTTATGAAGTAAGTCTTGAAAATAAGAGGTATGTCTGTATGCATCACCCATTTTCTGAGTATCCACGCAATATGTTACAGTTCAATGAAAGGTATTGAGGTAATGCTGAGTGCAATGAAAATTTATGGTTACTTGTAACAATATGTGTATCCTGTTTTGAGGGACATGACATAATAGTTATGAAATTGTACCTTTGATCATCCATTCTAACAATAAA